AATTTCCGTTTATTAACAAACCTAAATATAAATAAATAAATCTAACTAACTAAATAACTATTAACTAATTAATTAATTAATTAATTAATTAATTAATTTATTTATTTATTTATTTATTTATTTATTTACAGGTCTTAGGGTTTTGCATTCCTATAGAATTTCCGTTTATTAACAAACCACCAGCCGGTGGTTTTGCTGCTGCTGGTCGTCGGCTTTTTCGGCTAAGTGCGGTGGATAAGGAGGGAAATATAACTCCCTTAGGGTAATATAATTAATTAATTAATTAATTAATTAATTAATTTATTTATTTATTTATTTGTTTAGTGTTATGCTTTGGTTTAGATATTTATCTATGGGTTGGAGATGCTGCTGATGAGGTGTTGCTGCACGCGTTGCTGCTGTTGTGCTGCTGCTGCTGTTGTGATGCTGCTGCTATTATGCTCCTGCTAATGCTGTTGTGCTGCTGCTGCTGTTATGCTCCTGCTGATGCTGTTGTGCTGCTGATGCTGCTGCTCTTCCTGCTGCTTCTTTTGCTGTACCCTTTTTCTTGCTGCTAGTGGGTGGATGCATGAATGTTGCAAGGGTGTTTCTGTGCTGCTGCTGTGTGTATGGTTTGCTGCAGGAGACAGCTGGCAGCACTTCCACTGCCTCCGCAGCTGGGGCTAATTCTGCTTTCTTCTGTCTCCTTCAACTGTGTTGAGGAGGCCCTAACTCTTGTCTCTATGCTCTCTGCTGAAGCAACTCTAACAACACCCTTCTGCATTTCAAGTATTATTCTAAACCCTAAACCCTAAACCCTAAACCCTTCTATATTTCAAGGGAGACCCTAAACCCTAAACCCTAGGCTGTTTCTGTTTAGAGAGCACAGGTTGCGTGGAGCTGTTTACAGCAATAGCAGCAGCAGCAGCAGCTGCAGCAGCAGCAGCAGCAGCAGCAAGGAAGGCTGTTGCTGCAGTATGCATGCGTGGGGTCTGCAGGGGGAAAGGCAGCAGCATTAAAGAAAGCGCGAAAGACTATTATTGATTCTTCTAGCGATCATCTTACCCTTATTAAAGCCTATCAACTCTGGACACAAGTAAACCCTAAACCCTAAACCCTAAACCCTAAGACCTTCTCAGCCTCAGCTTAGCATATCAACGAGCAAACCCTAATGCTGCTTCAATACGCATTGCGGATTTGCGGTGTCTGTACAACCCAGCCTGCATAAAGTTGCAAGCCGCATCGGTTTAGGGTTTAGGGTTTAGGGTTTAGGGTTTAGGGTTTGTGTGCAGGCAGCAGACCCGCATGCATTTTGTAGGGAGGTGGGGCTTTCTAATTCATCTATGTTATTAGCAAGGCGAATCCGAGGTCAATTAGAAGACGCACTAAAAGCTTTAGGCGTCAGTACACCCCAGCACCCCACACCAGCAGCAGCAGCAGCAGCAGCAGCAACTGCAGCAGCAACTGCAGCAGTAGAGGAGGGCCTCAGCAGCAGCCAGCAGCAAGCGCTGAATTTTAAACGAAATTTAACAAAAAGCTGCTGGCAGCAGGCTGCTTATTACCAGCCGGAGACCCGTCAGTATATCACTGCGGTGAGTTGGGCTGTACGTACACCCCAGCAGCAGCAGAAGCAGCAGCAGCAGCAGCAGCAACAGCAGCAGCAGCAGCAGCAATAGCAGCAACAGGAGTATCAACAATAACAGCAGCAGCAGCAGCACTAGTACTAGTTCTAGCAGCAACAACGGCAGCAGTAACCGCAGCAGCAGCATCAGCAGCAGCAGCAGCAGTTGTGTCTTTTAGCATTGCTTTTTATTTTATTTCTTTTCTTCTTCTTTAATTCTGCAGGTCAACAGACAAACTGCTAAAATACACCCCACAAGTGTACTCGCAGATGCACCCCAACCTCCACAGTAAGAACAAAAAACGCATGCATAGACTGCATGCATGCATGCATGCATGCATGCATGCATACAGTGCATGCATGCATACACTGCATGCATGCATATACTGTATGCAGGAGATTTATAGCATGACTTACGAAGTTGAGTATATC